TGCTTGCGGGTCACCTATTTCTGGTGGTGGAGATCTAGGAACTAGAAATTCTTGTAGAGCTGGCCCATCCACAGAAGGCGGTATTATCTAGAGTGCCTGCCACTAAGGGGGTTAGAGGACATCTGTAGTGCAAATGAAGCAAACAGTAGAGACGTTCATGGCCTATCCATGGTGGTTGTGGCTATACGTTTAAATCCCTGCTTCCCATTGATCTGTGTTGTGCCTGACAAGGAGCACAGGAGAAATGCCTCCAATAGGCCATAAAACAACACTCCTCCTGTTCTGCCCATGAACCATGGTGTGTCAAACAGATCTCTGTACTAGGGAGTGGGGGGCACACAAACTTGGACAGTCAGAGACAATTTTGGTATTAGATTGTATGAATACTGTTACTTCCTTGTATCATACATAGCTATATATTTAAGTATTTAACCGCCTGTCAGTAGATAGTTCTTGGAGCATTCTGGACATTATCGGGACAAACTATAATTCAGTTATCCCTCTACAACTTTTTGTGGTGATTATGACGCAGAATCTGTGGGCCGGCTGCAGTTTTTTAACCCCTTAAGGACCAAACTTCTGGAATAAAAGGGAATCATGACATGTCACGTGTCCTTAAGGGGTTAAAGGGGCCCGGTCGCACAATTGCATCGCAGCGCTGACCAGGCCCCTGAAGATATTAGGGCCCATCAGCGTGCAGCCCCCCGGCACAGTTCCTCCGCTACACATGGGGCCCAGGACCATGGTTGTCACCCCCTGATGGTGGCCCTGCCTCTGTACATCGCTAAAGGGCCACAGTGAGTCCAATGGGGGAGATCACTACAATTATTGGTAGTAAAGGCACTGCTCACCACCTGCCATGTATTTGGTATGAAACGTAATATGTAGAAATCCACACCTTCATCCTCATCCTTTATTGGCAGAGAGGGGGCAATAATTAACCCTCTGGTGGTCCATGAGGATCCAATGTGGATTCCCTGGTCTAGCTGCAGGACTTCGTTTGTGAGGACATCAGGATGCAGGCTGTGAATCCGGTCTGAGCTTGGGCCCTAAGATGCAGCCTTGGTTGTCTAATGGATAATCCGGGTATGCTTTCTGGGACTAAATCTGAATGTTGTGAGCATAAAGCAGACATTCACGGCAGGTCTTCGATATACTTTTCAACTGTCCTGAGTTGGAAGTACTGTCCTGACATAAAGAAACTGACTGGGCCTTTGTGTGGCTTGCACTATGCTTGGCAAAATATTACACTAAGGGGTACTTTTTGTAAAATATAGCTTGTGGGTTTTTTCCACACATTTATGTGTAAGGAACAATTCTGGAGGGGAGATAAAAACCTTGAGGGAAATATTTTTATGTTATATATCCCCCTTAAGGTAATTTATAATGTTTATTTAATTGCAGCTTATATGCTTTATTTTTTTAAATCTATTTATGTATGGTATACAAATCGGAGAGGGGTAATAGAATGTCAGTAGGATAAGAAAATGTTTCACTTAAAACCAGCTATACTATACATCCAAATTGCTCTCTAAGTGTTATTTACTCAGCATCTAGTAAGAGGTTGTTATCTCCATTGACTACCCTCAGGATTGTTCCAGGCAGATGTCTAGATAACTTGTTATATGGTTATAGGATATGTAGCTTTATACAAATAGCCCTTTTATTTGTGGGTCTTTCGAATGTATTTTGTTACATACTTGATATGTATTTTTTTTTTTTATGCATCCGTCATATTATTATTAGTAGTAATGTTTCTCCCTCCCCGTTTCCCACCCACTCCCACTTACCTATATATTATTTCTAACATTATTGGACTATTCCGAAATTGTGAATGACCCATAAATATTATTCTATTTGGGCTCCACAGTGTTGCACTATGTTTTATTCTTATTTACCCTAGCTGGATTCACCCTATATATTGTATGGATGGGAGCTATTAACAGTTTAATTGATACGCTTTTATGAAGAAGTAGGTTTTTAATGATTTTTTTTTAAGGAGTGGAGACTGGGTGAGCATCTACCGGAGGAGGGAAATGAGTTCCACTGGAAAAGTGTCTGGAAGGCGAGCATCAGAGGTGGGAGTACAGAAAAGATAGACGCAAGTCTTCAGCAGAGCGTAATTGCCTAGACGGGACATACTTGTGTATTAGGGAGGATAGAAAAGTATTCTGGTACCAGCTACTGACACCAGGGTTACCCGACTGATGCCATGTTACAGCTGTACCCAGGAGCCCAGCTTTCTATAAACCAATTAATGGCATGGAGCAGGTTTAGCACATTTGGATTATTAGTTACTATACTAATTAACCAAGAAAACATATAACCAGGACTAAACCAGTCGTGTACTGCCATTTTCTACCCTACAGATTCCCAAATGTTGTGAACTACGAATCCCACGATTCTTTAACAGAGTCTAGGAAGGCAAGGTATCTTAGAAGGTGTAGTTCAACTAAATATGGTAATCTACCTAGTTGACATCCCTGCTCTATGACCTGCGTTGGGAGATCATTTAGTTTTCATTATAAAGTATTTATTTAAAACTAAACAATTGGCTGCAATTCACTTATGATAGTATATGAAATAAGGCGCCAGCAGAGTTATACACTACTTTATGAGCTGCTTTGGAGTAATTATTCTATTTATTTTTTACTGGTATTGTGAAAACACAGTTATTAGATCTTGATTAGACATCCATCAAGACAGATTTTCTAATTCTTTTGCTTATAGCTGTTAACATTTATACTGCAGGTAGAATTTTTCCAATGATAAAAGACTGTTTGTGCTTGTTTTGCACTTGACACGTCGCATATGTACGTACCATAATGGTAACACGCTGACCAAAGTGCAAACATGACTTCTCTCTAGACAACGAGTAAAATCCTACTCATGGAACACAAGCCGACAAGGCTGTTTATATAAAACGTTACTTAAAAAACACGTTATTGAAAACTAAAAATAATGCAGGACTTCATCCCTGCCAAGCAGAGCTTTTAATGGTATAATGGCCAGCGAAATCTCGTATAGCGTAGAGAGCTACTGACTAAACTTACAACATAAAACCCCCTGCTGTCATTTTTTATAGGAACAGTAAAACATTTTATTGAATTTATGAGCTACATAATAGCCATGGAGAATGGAACTTGAATTAGAACCAACTCTAAAGTATAATCCCAACTATAAACCCTTCTATTGCACTGTTCCTTCGGCTTTTACTCACGCTTTTTTATTTTGCCAAGAGACTGCATTACCATCAAATTGTTCATCACACTGCCTATCCGTGAGTTCGCAGCTTACATAAATCCAGCGCCTTCCTGGGAGCACAGAAATTTTGCATTGGACAATGGAGGCATCATTGAAAAACGGTCTGTTGGTTAACCTCTTGGAGCCCTGCATGGAGATTTGGGTTTGTCCGACCGCTTGGCAAAGTTTTCTAATAAATATAATCAGATGATTAACAGGTTATGACTGCGCAGCGCGGCAGGTTTTACGCTGAAAATCCAAATAGTTGAAATTGTACTTTACAATATTTGAGTTTGTGTTTAAGTCTTGGAACTAACACATATTAAGGAAAATTAGACCACTTATCTTCGGTAAACGAATGAAAAAAATAAACGCTTATTCACCGAGGAAACAAAAACAAACAAGAAACCTAAAAACCCCACAAACAAACCCTTTTTTTGTAGCAGAGATCATTAAAGCTGAACATTCTCCAGTGCAGAATTGAACGCTGTAAAGAGCTAAATATTGCAGATCATTTATCTAAGACATGCCTTACACATGCAATTAAACATCTTTATGCCTTTAGAATTACGTTCGGCAATTTCTGGTGCTTTACTGTTCTGAATGTGATTTAAAAGAGCTGAACGGAGAGATCAATTAGGTGATTCACAGAGTTATATTTTAACGTGGGATATAAAGAAATGTCCGGAAACTGCTACTCAGCCTGTCATCTATGTTTTCCATTCACAGTTCAGCGTCTTAGACCGTTATCCCAAAAGACTTTATTTTATTTTTTTCTGAAGGGCTAATAAAAGCGAATGGGTGAAACAAAGTCATAACCAGTTCTGTCTGAATTACATGTCATCTCATCTACAGGGAAGAAACGGACCATTTCCACGTCTGGTGGACGGTAACGCCTGAACTGGCAAGAATGCTATTGAATTTGATTTACAGAATAACTGTGTGACAAACGATGACAAAAATAAACTTTTACTGCATTGAACTGCTCTTTTATTTATGAAATTTGACCAAGTAGTGAAATCTTTTATCTGCAAAGTTATAACGCAGAGTGAAAATGAGCAATTACGTTGGGGTAATAGTGATCCGCTGGTGTAGGCAGAGTCAGATGGCTACTGTGCCATGATAAATGTGAACATTGCTTTGCTGACAGATGATCTAACAGGTGTTCATAACAACTATATAAGAGGATGTATTTATGGCTGGCCGCAGCCGCAGCACTGTAAATCAAGCAGAGCAGCTGCACGCCACTGAAACAAACTCCCTGATGGAGGACGCTGCTAGAACACACAACACAATTCACTCCAGAATCATAATCTTCAAATATTTTTTTTTACTTCTTTACAGAGGAGCATGCAAACTAAAATTAGCTTAGATTAGAAATGGCAGATTTTAGAACTTCTTGATTTGTTTTTTTTCAGGGCATTTTAAAGACAGAAGATTTAGAAGAAAGGATTGATATGTGGAAATTGTACGACCAGGCCTATCTATAAAGATTTGCTTCAGACTGTAGCCTTTAAACCAAAAAACAAACACAAAACCCACATCAAAATGAAAAAACAAATCTACTGAACTGGGATACTGTACAACATGGTTGTATAGAACACAGCAAGCCGCCCACAGCGAATAAACGCTGCAGGCCGCACACAGCGAATAAACGCTGCAGGCCGCACACAGTAAAAGGAACTACTGCAGGCCGAACACAGTAAAAGGAAACAGGCCGCACATGGTGAACAAACGCTGTAGGCCGCACACAGTCATTAAAAGGAAACAAAGCAGGCCACAGGAACACAGCGAGTAAACGCTGCAGGCCGCACACAGCGAATAAACGCTGCAGGCCGCACACAGCGAATAAACGCTGCAGGCCGCACACAGCGAATAAACTCTGCAGGCCGCACACAGCGAATAAACGCTGCAGGCCGCACACAGCGAATAAACGCTGCAGGCCGCACACAGCGAATAAACGCTGCAGGCCGAACACAGTAAAAGGAAACAGGCCGCACATGGTGAACAAATGCCGTAGGCCGCACAGTGTCATTAAAAGGAAACAAAGCAGGCCACAGGAACACAGCGAGTAAATGCCGTAGGCCGCACAGTGTCATTAAAAGGAAACAAAGCAGGCCACAGGAACACAGCGAGTAAACGCTGCAGGCCGCACACAGCGAGTAAACGCTGCAGGCCGCACACAGCGAGTAAACGCTGCAGGCCGCACACAGCGAGTAAACGCTGCAGGCCGCACACAGCGAGTAAACGCTGCAGGCCGCACACAGCGAATAAACGCTGCAGGCCGCACACAGCGAATAAACGCTGCAGGCCGCACACAGCGAATAAACGCTGCAGGCCGCACACAGCGAATAAACGCTGCAGGCCGCACACAGCGAATAAACGCTGCAGGCCGCACACAGTAAAAGGAACCGCTGCAGGCCGAACACAGTAAAAGGAAACAGGCCGCACATGGTGAACAAACGCTGTAGGCCACACACAGTCATTAAAAGGAAACAAAGCAGGCCACAGGAACACAGTGAACAAACGCTGCAGGCCGCACACAGTGAACAAACGCTGCAGGCCGCACACAGTGAACAAACGCTGCAGGCCGCACAGTGTGAACAAACGCTGCAGGCCGCACACTGTGTAAACGCTGCAGGACGCAGACTGTGAACAAACGCTGCAGGACGCACACCGACAAATAGCAAAATATAACAGCTAAGCGCATACAAAGCTATAGGAAATGTGGAGCGTACACAGTTAAATATAACACCAACACGTGCACACAGAGATATAGTATACCGCGGAATGTACACAGTGAAATATAACACCTCCAGGTGCAAACGCTGCAGGCCGCACACTGTGAACAAACGCTGCAACATTACAGACAAACCGCAAAATAGAACAGCTAGGCGCATACAAAGCTATAGAATAATGTGGAGCGTACACAGTGAAATATAACACCTCCAGCTGCACAGAGCTATAGAATAATGCAGAGCGAAAAGAATGAAATAGAACGCTAATTACATACAGTGAAATATAACACCGCCAGGTGCACACAGAAATATAACACCACTAGGCGCATGCAAAGATATAATATACTACGGTATGTACACAGTGAAATATAACACCTCCAGGTGCACACTGCACCTGGAGGAATAATGAATAATGTGGAGCGAAAAGAACAAAATAGAATGTTAGTCGCATACAGTGAAATATAACACCTCTAGGTGCATACAAAGATATAGTATACCGCAGAATGTACACAGTGAAATATAACACCACTAGGTACACACAAAGATCTAGTATACCGCAGAATGTACACAGTGAAATATAACACCACTAGGTGCACACAAAGATCTAGTATACCGCAGAATGTACACAGTGAAATATAACACCACTAGGTGCACACAAAGATATAGTATACCGCAGAATGTACAATGTGAAATATAACACCTCTAGGTGCACACAGAGAAATAGAATAACACGGAGCGAACACTGAAATGTAACACCACTAATCGCATACAGAAAAATATAACACCACTAGGTGCACACAAAGATATAGTATACCACGGAATGTACACAATGAAATATACCACCACTAGGTGCACACTAAGATATAGTATACCGCAGAATATACACCGTAAAATATAACACCACTAGGTGCACACAAAGATATAGTATACCGCAGAATGTACACCGTGAAATATAACACCACTAGGTGCACACAAAGATATAGTATACCGCAGAATATACACCGTAAAATATAACACCACTAGGTGCACACAAATATATAGTATACAGCAGAATGTACACCGTGAAATATAACACCACTAGGTGCACACAAAGATATAGTATACCACGGAATGTACACAGAGAAACACCACTAGGTACACACAGAGCTACAGCATAACACAGAGCGTACAACGTTTATTGAGAACATTACAATTAAGCAACAATTTTTATAAGGACTGCACAGGAGAACTCTGTAGTGTTGGAGTAATGAAGAAATGTTTTATCGTATCACTGCAGAACTAGAATCAGGCTAGGGACCCTTTATTACATAAAAAAATGAAAATAAAATATAGTAATAAAAATAAAAAAATAAATACCTCAAACCAACAAATCTCAGCACAAAATAAATGAAGGATTTTGCATTTATGTGGAGTGACAGTAAGACTTAAATCCTGACTGCAGTGCATAGTGGTCAAAGTAGTAGAAATGAGAAATTAACTTATAATGGCAAGTCTACTTATGAACACAAACACACAATAAAAATATGTTTTGCATGGGATGAATTTGGCGTGATGGATATAAAGGAGACTAGACCCTCACCGGAAATCTCCAAACCAGTTTTATTTATTTAATAATAGATCATTTTTGAGATAAGGAATTGACAACCATATATGTCAATGTTAATTGTGTGGATTTACTGCTAATTGCAGTAATTTTATCGTTATTTGGAAACACGAGCACTCAGAGGATATAGCCCCGAATCAAGCCACATTTTGCTGTCTCTGGATGTACAATTGACTCTATAACTTCCAATAACATTAGGTCTTTTGGGAAAATCATTAGGAAGAAGCCAAAATAAGACAGAATAAAATAGTCACACTATAGCTTTTCCTTCCAAATACATTTTGCCAAGTTAGACAAAGGTAGTCAAAGGTCACTTGCGGAGTCCAACTCCAGTTTATTAATTAGCATTTGTTTCATGCTGATCCACTAATAAGTTGGTATTGATCACTCTGTTTAATATGTAATCAATAGTTAAAAGTTATCTTACTTGTTCTTTCAACTAGTTTCCTACCGTCTTATAGCCCCACCATCCCACGACTAGAAATGGAGATTTATTGAAAGAAAAATGTTACACTTGTTAACATGTGCTCTTTAACCAAACAGGGATATTTACTAACGGGTAAATTGCCAGGAATTCAAAGGGTATGTAAAAGAATTTCACATTATAGGCCGTAATATCTGAAGTGAATACATATCTTTAAATCCAGAAATATTGACCTAAAATGTATTAGAATTTTTGACAATTCACTGTTTTAGTCCCCAGTTACGTAAAGTCGTAAAATTAGAACCCATCCTCACCTCCCTCTACCATGCCCTAAACTCATTTGACTCCATCCAATTTTACGATTTATCTACAGCTAGCCGTTTTGGGATTTGACATTACTTTTCAATGTACATACTGATTTTCTAACGCAGTATCCCTAGAAAGGTATCCGTGCAAAATACATAAATAAATGTAATGTTATTATAGACCACAGGAAATGGGATTTAGCATTTCATGGAATAAGATTACTCAACAATCCAAAAACGATTTAACAGTTGGTGCAACTGTATGTTTACAACAAACGTGCAAATGGCTGATGTTTGTCATTTATAAGGATCTTACTAGTTTCATTTATAAAGTTTACAAGTTAGAAATATTACTGTACCAGATGTTTAAGCAGCAGTACAGTACTATACTGATATCCACACTTTCTTTTAATAATAAATGCAACAAATTAAACGTCTCCAGGCAAAGTGGTAACAAATTACAACGTGGGGTTTTAGTCATTAATCTAGCAATGGTGGAGAACCGAAACTTTTAGGTCAAAACAAATTACAAATATTCAATTTAAATTTGCAATACTCTTATCAATTGCAAATAATTACTAGCTTAAATAATATAACTTAAAATGTTCAAATATATATATAAAACATGAGGATGACATAGCCTTATTTTTAGAGTATATTGGAATGAAAAGATGGACTTTTAACCCCTTAAGGTCCAAATTTCTGGAATAAAAGGGAATCATGACATGTCACACATGTCACGTGTCCTTAAGGGGTTAAACAGGGTAAGCAGGGGCACACATGAAAAGTGCAAAAAGTGATATATGAATAGGAGAGAATGTTTATTTACCTTATATAGATACTTTTGTATAAATTACATGTATTTCTTGCCTTATAAAGATAGTCATTTAAAAATATTTTTTTAAGTTGTTGATTTCGTACTATTTTTAGATAGTATGAAAATAATGGATATTTTGCATACAGCCCCATACTGTCTCTTAAAAGCGTTCTTGTATTTTGTGGAACTGGTAACCTCTTTGCGTCGAATTTCCATGATTTGAATTAAATGCCTTGTATGTTTTTTGCCTTCAAACATATATATATAAAATGCGCAGGTAGTTTTTAGCAGCACATGACATCACAGTGATTATACACAAACACACATTTAAAAAAAAAATCTAGTAAGCCAATCACTAACAAATTTATTGAAAAGTCTGCTTTAATATAAGGAACACAATAGAATGATTCAAACAAATAAGGAAATCAATTGAGAATTCCCGTCGCAGAAAACACTGGAATAGTGAGACTATTTTGGCTGATGTCTATTAATCTCGGTCGTAAAACGAACACCATTTCCAGTTCAGTATTTGGGAGGGTGTTCAATGCCCCTTACTGAAAGGGTTACATGGCGTCACTCGGTATGATAATGCTAAAGTTGTAGCCCCTGGTTACCACTGAATCTGTTTTTCATTAATGTAACTTATATGAACCCAATGTTTTATTAAAACAGCGACAGAAAATGTAACCCATGGCAAATGGGTCTAAATGTAAGAATAAGTGACAGTAAAACATGAATTTAGTTAGCGAGCTCAGCTATGGCAAGTGCTTGCATACATGATAGATACCAGCATTCTGAAGCAGGAGAGAGTATTCTCCCAGCTACTGCCAGACGGAACGGCTATTATTATAAATGATGGGCAGCAGTGGAAGGTGCCAGGCTCCTTTCTTGTGTGCCAGACTCAGAAGTCCAGATGTATGCTGGGTTACCCCTGGGACAAGACAGGCTTGAGCTCGCGCAGCAGAATAGAGCCAATCACCGTCTTCTCTGTGTTTATGATGAGCTGTGCGGTCGAGCTTTCCTTTAACTCCACTGTGACTAACACCAAGGAGGAGCTGTGCACAGTTTTAGCTGCAAATCTGTGGGGGGGAAAAGGAAAAAAGTCTAAGTAAATATAAAAGAAAGCATTGTTTCTCCCAACAGCAAAATGTTCATCTATTTCTGATCAACAAATGTAACGAAACTTCACAAAACAAGAGCTTTGTTTTCGGCAACTTTTGTTGGACAAGCATTAAGTTTTACATGTAAATTCGCCATGTGTCTTTTGTTTGGATGTACATGTTGTAACAACGTTAAATTGAGAACAAAGTGCCAAAGCAGAGTGAAATAAGGCTGAACATGAGCGGAGAACCATAAAAATATTATTTAAAAAAATATATAATAAAGCAGATATGCACCAGATATTCTCCAGTTATTGAATATTAATAAAAACAATAAAAATACTGTACAAATAGTAATTTATTTAAATTTTTTTTAAATGGAGGCATCTGCCTATAAACCAAAGTGTACATATATTGGATCTCTTCGAGATCGCACTCAAATTCAAAACTAATAAATTAAATATAGGGTGCGGAGTGAGTACAAATTCCAAGACACAACATTCCTCCTAATTACATGCAATTAGAAGCAAAACTGTCCCTTTATGCCCTACAATTGACTGAAAAGCCATTTTAGGTACAATGAAGTCCTGTAAATCCCGCTAATTCATTCTGCAAGCAACGCAAGAACTGTGTGAGGAATGAGGAGCCGCCAGCTTTTATTTCCCAGCAAAGTGAACGACATTCTTTTTTTTTTTTCTCTCTCCTGCGAACTTCACAACAAAGAGGGAGCTGCACATGGCCCTTTCAAAAACACTAACAAGTATGGGAGCAGGTCTATGACCTGCGATGACCCCACTATGGAAGCAAGTCCCCTCTCCCCTTTCTGAATGACACGTGTCTCAATCGGAGCCATCTGCCTCAATTTGTGAAACATCTCCAGTCACAATAGGACTCGGTTAGCCCTGACAACGGCCAACAATGGACTAAAATACAACTGCTCTACTGACAGCACGGCGCAGGCTATTCAATAGCATACCAACTGGTCAGTGTCTATCGCGGACAATTAGCACGGGCCCGGCGCAGCACATACTGCGGTCTGCAGGGATCTCTTTAATTACCATCAACATAAAAGAGGGAGTTTATCAAAGATACTCAAAAAAACTTCACACCAGACTTAATTAAAATATTAGCCACTTAAGCAGGAAACAGATTCCCTTTAAATGAAAAGTAATTTCTTTTTTATTTTCCTTTAATCACATCAAAACCTCTTAACGCATTACACTGGTTAGGAAAGCTTAACAAGTCATTTCAATCTTGTTAACCACCTTATATGTAATAATTGTCATACTTTTTATTTTACAAGTACAAAAATCAATATTTATTTAAGCACCTTACCACTGGCTGTCTTCGATATTCTTATTTAGCAATGTATAGAGTATTTTG